ATGGGAGATCCCTTTTTGGTAACTTACTGCCTACTTTTGCTGCTTTTAAGATTCTCTCTTTGTCTTGAATCTATGGCATTTTAATTATCAGGTGTCTTGGTGTGGGCCTCTTTGGTTTCATCCTGTTTGGGACTCTCTGTGCTTCCTGGGCTTATATGTTTATTTTCTTCACCAGTTTAGAGAAGTTTTTAGTCATTATTTCTTCAAAAGTTTTCAATCCCTTTCTCTATTCTTTCTATTCAATAGCTCTCACTATTCTCCTTCTGGTATCTCTGTGATACAAATGTTGTTATGTTTGATGTTGTCCCCAAGGTCCCTTAAACTACCCTCATTATTTTAAATTCCTTTTTTTTTTATTGTTCTTTTCATGGTTTCTATGTCCTTTTTTATCCTTACTATCTCTTTGTTGAAGTGAACAAATTTTAAACAGTACCAATCAATGAGTATTAACAAATGCATACATCTATATAATCCAAACCCCCCAGCAAGATATAGAACATTACCATTACCATCCAAGTTTCCTCATTCTTCTTCCAGTGGAATCACCACCTCCATTTCCACTTTCTGAATTTTCAATATAAGCTTATCTTGTGTGTTCTACAACATCACATAAGTGAAATCTTACTTTTTAAAGATTATTTTGTAGATTCTTAAGAGTTTTCTGTGTAAACAATCATGTCATCTGTGAATAGAGATAGTTTACTTCTTCCTTTCTGATCTATATGACTTCTGTTTCTTTTTCTTGCCTTATTGCACTGGCTTAGATACAATATAGTGTTGAATAGAGATGCTGAAAGTGAACATTTTTGCCTTGTTCCTAATTTTTGGGAGAAAGCATCCAATATTTCACCATTAAATATTATGTTAGCCAATTATTTCTATAAATGCCCTTTATCAAATTGAGGAAGTTACTTCTAATCCTAATGTACTGAAAGATTTTTTTTTATCATCAATAAATATTTTTCTGTATCTGTTAATGTGATCACATGATTTTTTTATTTTTTTCTGTTAATATAATGAATTACATTGATTGAGTTTTGAATATTAAACCATCCTTGCCTTTCTGGGAAAAGCCTCATTTAGTCACAATTTATTTAAGGTATTTGTACCTGTGTTCAGAAGGATATTTGTCTCTAATTTTTTTTTTAATTTTCTGTTATCAGGCTTATTCAGGCCTCATACTTTAGAAGGATCCCCTTCTATTTCCTGAAAGAGTTTGTGAGATTGGTACTTGTTTAAGATTTTCTTTAAATGTTTGGTAAATTTCACTAGTGAAGTTATCTGGGCCTGGAGTTATCTTTGTGGGAAAGAATTTTATAGGCCATTCAATTTTTTTAATCAATATATCACTAGTCATATTTTCTATTTCATCTTGTCTCAGTTTTGGTAATCATAGTTTTTCAAGATATTTGTTTATTTAATGTTGAATTTATTGTTATAAAGTTATTCATAATATTCTTTCATCTTTTTAATGTCTATAGTCTCTGTAGTAACATCATCACTTTATTACTAATATTGGTAATTTGTATTCTCTCTTTTGTTCTTGATCAGTCTGCCTATAGGTTTATCAACCTTGATTAGAAGTTTAGAACTTTCAGCCCCACCTCCTAACCTCCAGGGAGAAGACAGGGTCTGGAGATTGAGGTCAATCATCAATAGCCAATGATTTAATCAATAATGCCTATGTAACGAAACCACCATAAAAATCCCTAAACAACAGCTTGGAGAGCTTCCAGGTTGGTGAACACATTGAGGTGCTGGAAGTATGGTGTGCCCAGAAAGGGCATGGAACCTCCCTTCCCCATACCTTGCCCTATCATCTACTCCATTTGACTGTTCCTGAGTTGTATCCTTTATAATAAACCAGTAAACATAAGAAAAGTGCCTTCCTGAATTTTGTGAGCCATTCTAGCACATAACTGAACCTAGGGAGAGGGTTGTGGGAACCCCAGATTTATAGCCAGTTGGTCAGAAGTACAAGTATCAACCTGGGATTTGTGGCTGGCTTCTGAAGTGGGGGCAGTCCTGTAGGACTGAGCCCTTAACCTGTGGGGTCTGTGCTAACCTCTCAGTAGTTAGTGTCAGAATTGAAATGAATTATAGGACACCCAGTTGTCTGCAGAGAATTAGAGAATTTCTTGATATGGAAAACTCATATACATTTCTTGTCAGAAGCTTTGTGAGTAAAAACAGCTCAGGCTATCCTATCAGTCCCACCTTAAAATCCTACCCTGGCTTCCCTTTGCCCTTGAACTCATTATGGTTTTTATAAAGGCTATCCATTTCCAGCCAGGCCTGGCTCTCCAAACAGTAACATCTGGTACCACTCACTTCCCTTTGGCTATTGCTTTTTCTTCCTCAAATATCCCAGTGCTTTTCAGCTGCAAGACTGTCACGTCCTGTGTGGCAAGGGCAAATGGGACTCGAGAGGGGCGACGCAGATTGAACAAGAACAAGAGACAAAGGTCAGATAAGAGCGAGACCAAGGGACTCAGCCTGGAAGACTGAGCCCCGAATCGGGTCAACGCATGGTTTTTATTGAAAATTTTCAAGGAAGTAAAACTGCTGTAAATCAGTAACCGTGTGTTATTGTGTGCCTTAAGGCTGCTTTCCAACAACCAATCCCCATTGTATTCCAACAAATGCTATGCCTTCATACATCACTACACAGCCCCAGGACACTTTGTTACTGTGTCCTCCCAGGGGAGATAACTGATATCATTCCATCAGGTCCCAGTCATACCGAGACACCCCCCGAGAGAGCTTTACCGATATCATTCCACCGGGCCTCGGTCATACCGAGACACTCTCTCAAGACTAATAGGGTCAGGGGCTAATGCAGAGGGGGTGGTCTTGGAATCGGCTGTAAGGCAACACAAGACTTTTGTACTTGCTGTTCCCTCTGACTGGAATGCTTTTTCTCAAGATCTTGGCATGATGGCTTTCTCTCATCCTCAGCTTCAGCTAAAATGTTACCTTCTTAGGGAGGCCTGCCCAACTACCATACTTAAAGGCCCTCTCCCCACCCTCAGTCCTGTTATGTTTCATCACCATCACCTTGTTTTTTCCTTTCAATGTGCTTCTCACTTTCTGATTACCTTGTATTATACATCACTGATCTCTAGCACCTGGAATGGTGTCTAGCACATATTAAGTGCTCTATAAAAATCTGTTGAGTGAATATATGAGAGAGCATTTCCCCCACATTTTTAGAGAAATTTTTTCCTACTTTTATGTTCAATTCATCCATATATAAACCGGTTTTGTGTAAATCCAGAAAAAAAGCCAATTTAAGAGGAATAAAAATATTGGGATGTCCTTGTTGATAAAAAAGATATTGGGGGGGGGACGGCTGAGTGGCTCAGTTGGTTAAGAGCTCGCTCAAGAGTGTGAGCTCTGAGCAACAGCTGTTCGATGCCCAGCCCCCCCACACAAAAAAAAGAAATTGGGGGCTGGAGTTACTTCAGCATGTGCTGCAGCATCCTCTCAAGTTGCCCCTTTGAGGTACTACTCTAGGGAGGCCAGGGTCTCAGTGAGGCCTTTTCCTGCCTTCCAACTTACCTGACTCACCTGTTTCCTTTTGCCATTCTTATAACTTGTTAGTGTAGGAGATAATTTACTTACCTATAATTATGGCTCATTGCCTGTCTTTCCACCCCCACGCCACCCTGCATGCACTATTGTGAGCTTCATGGGGGCAAGGATCCTATTCTGATTGTTCCGGAACGGAATAGGTGCTCAGCCAATAGTGGAATGAATGGATGAATGAATGAATGTCTCAAAGTAGAGAAAGGAGTCTGGGAAGGTTATGAGTTCTCTCTCTTAATCCAGATCTTCCCAGATTACGGTCACCGCCATCTTTGCACAGTCTACGTCACAAGACGCTATAGGCAAAACCTATACTGGGTATCAATGTTGACTAGTGTATTCATTCTCAGTATGGCTTTACTTATATATTTATAAACCCATCCTCTGTGTGCCTGTTGCAGTTTGTATGTGAATCTTTTGTTCACTCTAGAGTTTGCATAAGGAAAAATTTAGCTCTGTATTTGTGACATCATGATAAGACAAAATCTGATGAAGCTAAGCTCCGTCTTGTAGAGGCTATTCCCCCTATGAGCGGAGACTACTTTTCCCATTCCCTGAAGAAAAGTCCAGTAGTTGTTTAAATGCAGGATAAAACCAAGCATTTAAATTTATCATCAAGTAGTTACTGAAAGCAGAGGAACAGCAGCATACAAGAGCTAAAAGTAACACACCTTTTTGGGGGAGCAGCCACTTAAAAATCTTCCCAATTAGCAGGTATATTTCTCTTTAAATTTCAAGTTTTCTTAGGATTACAAAATTAAAACATTCTGTTCTTGGTTATTTTTCACAAACCTCTTGTCTTCGTGGAAAACCCCCAGTCCATCAGAAGATCAACAGAGGAAAATTTTTCTTTAAAAAATATAATATACTATGTTCTTTTCTTTGAAATAACTGTGGTAAGAAGAGGAATACTTCCCTTTCGTTTGAAGTCTTGCTTTTAAATTGCATGGAGGTGGTTATATATGAATCTTCATATAAACTTGTATCTCTCTCATTTAAAAGAAAAGATGAAAGAAGGGAATTGTCTCCTTAATTATTTAAAATATTTGGTGCAACTGTTCCTTATGAATTAATCTATGCACTTGGAAGACAATTACACTCAGTGTTAATAACATTGCCAACCTTTTCCAGTATGCTGCACTCCAAATACTATTGCGTTTTCATTGACAACATTTACTATTACATATGCATATGAAAAACAGTCATTTTCATCAGAATTACCGTAATAGCATTAAAGGATTATTACTTTTTCCAATTTCCTTGAAAGGAAATTCACTTAAATTAGATTGTTACTTGACTGCTTTCTTATCTTGCCTGTATGTTCAGGTAACTGGAGCCCATGAAAGTAAAAACTTCAGAATAAAAAGCATGATTTTATACATTAATGATTTCAAATAAAAGAGGAGTGTTAGTTTGTGCATCACTTCTTTCGAGAAAGTTAAGTCTGTGTTCTGCTTAGGAGAGATAACACTTTTTGTCCCTGTAGGTGGCCCCCCTGGTGTAGCCATTAGTTGCTAATTACTTGCAAACAAATAAACAATGAACTCCTCGAGCTGCTGGTTGGGTGTTCATTGACATGCTAAAATTTTCTAAGACAGGATTTTAATTAGTGACGTTCTAAATCCAACCCCTTGTCAGAGGAGCTGTAAGGTGAACTGGAGGAAGATCCCAGCACCGTAAGAGTGGGGCAGAGCTAGCCAAGAGGCCACCAGACGCCACAGCTGTGGACCGGTACAGCCCCTGCGACGATGTTTCCCAGCCTTCAGGAAGGTGCTCAGCTTGGGGAAAGCAAACCCTCCCCCTGCTCCTTTTCAATTGAAAGCATTTTGGGGCTGGACCAGAAGAAAGACTGTGTTCCATCCATGAAACCCCACAGGCCCTGGGCAGACACCTGCGGCTCCTCAGGTAGGCAACAACCTAATTTTTTAAACTGTTTAATTTGGCCTTTAATTTTATACTACATAGAGTTAGAAACTGCAGCTTCATCCAGTTACATAACTGAGGTATCTATGGCTTTTCATGCCTATAGCTGAGTTATTATGGGAAATAAAAAAATATCAGCTGTAAATCCAAGTGCACTCGCGGGAAATGCCAAGAACCTGCATTTGCTTCAGAACATCCCAGAATATCTGACACATCAGATATTCTTTTTTTTTTTCTATGACGAGTAAATGACGTGCAGAGACCAAAACATTCTCTATTACCAAGGCAGGATCTTCATTTTTGTTTGCTTTTTGATTTTTGGTTTTTGGTTGATGAGAGGTCAGCTCTCTTGTGAAACCCAGAAGAATGTCACTAGGATAATTAAAGACACGTTCCTGAAATTACTTCTTATAGAACTTTGTGGAATATAGAATTGCATATTTAAGATGGGGTTTATTTTTCTGTTTTTAGAGAAAGATGGTAAACTGTGTCTACATGTCCCAGGCCTTCCTAGTGGGATCTTATTCCCTTATACTGTGGATCACCCGGTGCCCGAAGAAAGAGTTTTGAAATATGAAAATTACTTTTCAGCTTCAGAAACACTGTCTTTGAAAGGAGAGCTGATTTGGTATAGAGGCCGAAGACCAAGAACTGCTTTTACTCAAAACCAGGTGGGAAGTTTTTTCCCCGGTAATAGTGATAACACAAAGCCTTTAAATCGCTCCCTGCTGAGCAAAAGCCCATTCACTTTGGGATCTCAATTTAGGCCTTACTAATGAAACAATAGACTATCATTTTTAACAGTTTCTGGATAGTTATTATACATATATATATATATATATATATATATATATATATACACACACACACATATATATATATATATATATATAAATAAAATGGCATACAGATTAATTGCCTAAAATTTAAATGCAATTATTTTGCTATACAAATTAAAGTCCATTTTATGATGACATACCAAGTATCAACATTTTAAATAACTATTTCCTTATTCTTAGATTGAAGTTTTGGAAAATGTCTTTAGAGTAAACTACTATCCTGGCATTGATATCAGAGAAGACTTAGCTCAAAAATTGAATCTAGAGGAAGACAGAATCCAGGTAATTTTCAAATTTAGTTGTTATTCTTGATGATTGAAATGTTAAGAATAATGAAATAATATTTCTGAGATCTGTTTTATTTTTTATTAATTTTAGATCTGGTTCCAAAATCGGCGTGCAAAACTGAGGAGGTCCCATAGAGAATCACAGTTTCTAATGGCGAAAAAAAATTTCAAATATCTTGGAATAGAAAACTAAATGTGAAATTATCTTCCAATTGCAGAACGTGAAGCGTGAATGGAAATATCAAGTTGTTAAAATGTGATGTTTTCTTTTCTGCATTTAATCTGAATATTGTCTTTTTTTTTTCAAAAAATGTATTGTAAATAATTACCATTATATCATGGTACCTATTATACTTGGGCACTTGTAGATACAATAAAGGCCTTTCCTATATATTTTAATAAATATTGAGAAAAAGCCAACTATTTTTTATGTGAGCAAATTTAATCTAATAGTTTGCTAAAATCAGTAAACTCATGACTAAGTGACTCCACAAACTGGATTACATTTACAAAATAATTTAAGTCAAATAATCTGATGAATGACACAAAGGTGTGATTTGTTTCATTTAGTTTTCTTCAAGTGCATTTTGAAACATGATTATGCTTTTCATATATTATAGAACATGATTTATTCATGAATCTGTAGTTTCTCTTAATTTCTGGCATAAAACTGAGAATTTCTCACCATATTTCAATACAAATCCTTATAGCATGCCAACTTCAGGTTGTTGGTGGTGTTTTTTTAAGCAAAGTCATTATTACCAAAGTAGAGATATAAAAGCATCAATTGTCATATTCATACCACCAGTATTACATTGCACAAAAGAACTGAACTACAAATAAATGCAAATTTTAAAATATTTTTCTAGTTCATTTAATGTTGTGCTTGAATATCATTCGTTAAAGTAATAATGATCATCTGGCTTATATCTATTTCTAGTGTAGTGATTTCTAATCAGCTGTGTATTTTGTTATAAGTAATACGTTGACTGGGAAGGTAGGATAACTGACCTGCCTTGTGTATGTGATCTGACACAGTTGCTGGAGATAATCAGGGCACTTTCTGGGACAAAAACTATGTATTTTCTTTGCATTTGCCATTGTATCTGTCAATTGAAGATGAGAATAGGATAAAATAGCATCACAAAAAAGGAGTCCTCCCCTGGAAATCTGGGTATTTCTTTTCCAGCTAATCATTGGAAGGCCAAAGTGGGTGTTCTTTTTGAAATGTTAGCTTGAGGACTCTGTCTCCTGGAAGCCACACTTCAACTTTGTCTGTTTGAATTGAATTCTTCTTTACTTCGCTTTTCTTTCTTTCCTATCCCTCTGTCCTTTTCTCTCCCAGTGGTAACCAGAGTAGATGGTTCTTGTTGTATTATTTTTTCTTTTTTCCTTTCTTTTTTCATATTGTGTGAGAAGGACTAGAGGGAGTTTGCATATTCTTGCTAAGGAGAAGTAGCATGACTCAGATTTTGAAGCTTTTTAAAATCATTTACAGAGAACAGATTTGGGCTGGAGAGCTGTGTCCCCACAACTGGTCAGCATTAAGCTGTGCTTATTCTGTTCCACTATTTCTGAGATGGAGAGGGAGGAGGAAAGAAGGACAGCAAGGGCAGCAACTGGAACACCAGAGGCATTAAAAGTTTTACAAGGAAGACTCTACTGTCAGATTGGGCCACTTTTTTCCAATATAAAGAGCTGCTTCCATTAATATAAAATTTGAAGCATTATTGATAAAATGTATTCGTCAAAATTTATCCACCAAGAGTTTTCTTTGCTCTTCATTATGTTCCTGTGAAACTATATTAAGTGGAGGACTGGAAGTCACCAGGCATGGGTTGGAGGGGAAAGTGTCACGTGATGGGTAAATCTTTTTCAAATAGCCTATTATTTTAATCCCAAAGGCCGTATTTACCTACTGTGAACAATTCACCCGTGTCAGACATATACCTGTGTCTTTCTTAAACAGTTGCTTAGTTTAGGATAAGATTTCAAGTCCTGTACATAACAAACTATTCCACAATATTAATATTTAAGTACTTTTGAGGTAGTACTTTTCACAAATGGAGACTTTCAAAGAGTGATCATAGTTTATCTAGAATTTATCTAAAATTAAACATAACCTCTAAATTTCTAAGGAGCATGAGAATTCTGTATAAAATTATAGATGTCAGAAGAAAATACAACATCATAAACATTGATCAACAATTAGTAATGCACTTAAAATTTTTTGTTAATTATAAAAACTAATAACACCTATAAAATGTCTGGTGAGGAAAGAAACAGTAATTCTAGAATATCGTTATTTCAATATTTTTCAGTACAATTTAAAGTAGCTAATTTGTGTGGTTCTAAAATTCACTTTTGTCTATAATTGAAATAAGTTGTGTTTATAGCCGAAGTTATATCTTTATAATTGAAATCATTTATAATAGAAATGATGCATTTATAACTGAAACAAATAACATTTACAAGTCAGAAAAATTTAAATACTGGAATTTATAATATTAAACAAGTAACTATGAATGTAATTACACATTCTTTTATATTTCCAGACTAATAATAGAATATCATTAAATACTGTGAAGTGAACCTGTAATACGTACAAATTTTTAAAAAGCAAGATAATATACAAACTCAATGGTGTATTTCCCCTAAAATCATTTGCAAAAACCTAAAAGATAAAGGCTGATCTTGTTAAGGGAAATAATTAGCCAGTAACTTTTTAAATCAACTATGATTGATAGTAATTTGGAGAGAAGATGTGGATATTCAGGGGGAAAAAATTGACTTTAACTTTGAGGAAAAATCAAACAAGATGAAAATGGAAATGAAAACCCAAGATAGAATTATCTTTCCCTCAAAACCCACAGGATCTAATCCATAGCTTATCTCTGCTCCTGAAATTCCAAGCCTTTGTCTCCATTAATGCCCAGGACAAGGTGAACAGTAGTACAAATCAAACTAATGCAGTCAGGCTAATACCTGGAGCGTCTCTATTATCTGACCACTGCCTAAAGAAGGTTATTTGGCCTCCTGTAAAGGCATTTGTCTCTTGTGAATCCAGCCAGCCAAAGCCCATCACCAAAGAGTGGGGACAGAAACAATGGCTGTGTGTGCCGGTGGTAAACTTTGGAGTTAATCAGTGCTAATAGCTGCTTTCACCCCCTGCGTCTTATCACGCATCACAGAGTGGCATAAATCCCCCATTACCATACCCAACACAAAGCATGGACCTGGGCCTTGCCTGACTTCTAAAGCAGGGAGCTATGTGCAAGTCCATTTACTTGATGTGGAACCCAAATTAAAGTATGACAAATGGTGACTTGCTATCTCCATTTTACTGAGCCTCATGGGACTAAAAACCCCCTCCACATGCCTTTGACTAAATTTAATGCACATTTTGACGGTTCTTTCTCCTGCTGGGGCACCAGCCCACAGCAGCAGCTGAGCAGCCAAGGCAGCTCTTGGTGGCTCCACCACTCCACATCCCATTAAACTCACCACTTCCCATTTTCCTCTCCCCTATTTTTTTAATTCCAACCCTTTTCCTTTTTCCTTGTGAATGCCTTGGCAAGCTTGTTGGTGTCAATAGGTATTATTGAGTCCCATTAATGAACCTCCAGCCTAAAAACTTTATTGCTTACCTTCTGTCTGGTAAAAGTGGCCAACATTTAGAAACTTCCATGTCTGTTCCCTCCCCACAGTCCTCCTAGGGTGGCTTAGTGGACCGTATCTTTTATTTAGCATTTTATGACTGGGTGATTTCAGTGAAATAAAATTAATACCACAGTATACGTCCTATTTATCACATCATAAGCTTGCAAAGAATCATGCACCTATTATACCTGGTGTTGGTCAAAAAATTGCATAACAACATGCTCCTTTATAAGGCACAACCCCTATTTGATGAATATTTATGGATCTGTGTTGAGCCACCAACACTGTTCTGCCTTGATTTCACTAGTTCAATCAAGTCAGCCAATCAAAAAGTATTCACTGGGGGTGACCGGTTAGCTCAGTTGGTTAGATCGTCGTGCTGATACCACCAAGGTTGCCTGTTCAATCCCCACATGGGCCACTGTGAGCTGCTCCCTCCTTAAAAGAGTCAACTATGCCATTGTAGCATGAAAGCAATGTGTAATCAATGACCATGGCTGTTCCCCAATTAAAAAAAAAAATGTACTTGTTGGAGGCAGCCTAGCAATGTAGTCAAGAGATCAGGCTAGAGTCTGGTCACCTGGGTTCAAACCACAGTAACTATTTGACTTTGGGCCAGTTACTCAACCTCATTAAGTCTTAGTTTCCTTATCTATAAAATGGGGATAATAATGGGACTTATAGATTGTTGAGGAATTAAATGAGATAATGGACTAGGCTTAGACAAATGCCTGGGACATAAAACACTCACTAAATGTTAATTCTTATTATATATTGTCTAGAGACAATGTGTTAGGGAATACAGAAGTAAAGGAAGTTGTCTAGAACAATGTTTTCATGTCTGGAATGGTGCATGGCACAGAGTGGGTTCTCAATCAACAGTCATAGAAAAATGAAAACAGTTCTTGGTCTCTAGGAGTTCACCATATGATGAAGAGAAAAGACTATTTAACAGTTATTCAGCAACTATTTATTCAGTGTCTGCCATGAGCCAGTCTCTGTGTGAGCCTCTGGAGATTGCATGATGAACAAGTCAAACAAGGTCTCTGCTGTATTGGGACTTATTATACCCAGTGCCTAGCGCAGTCATGGCAAATAGTTGGCCCACAATAGATGGTGAATGAATGAATTAATGAATGAATGAGTGAATTAATGAATGAAACAGTAAGAAAATAACACAGAGAAATATATAATTAAGGACTAAGTGTGTGTAGGTGATCAGGACTACTAAAAGCTATATGAGGGGAGGGATCAGAGAGCTATGTAAAGACCAACTCTCAAGGGCATTCCAGGTGAGGGAACAACATGTGAGAAGACTTAGAAGCTGTATAGCAAGACTAGTGTCCTCCTTAGGGTGGCAAGTGCCTGGTGGCAGGGCCAACTTCATAGGTGTGCAACTCATGCAGTTACACAGGGCTCTGTGCTCAGAAGGGTCTTACATTTGGTTTAATGCTCTGCTGTTGCCATTTTGAACTTCTTAATGATTTTTGACCAAGGGAACCCACATTTTCATTTTGCACTGAGCCCCAAAATTATGTAGCCAATCCTGCCTTTTGGGAGCAGATGATACAAACTACAGAGGACCTTAGAAAAAGGCCAAGGAAGTAAAATTTGATGTGGTGGGAAATAGTGAGCCATGTTTGGTTATTGAACTAGGGTTGCAATATGGTTTAAGGAAGATAGAGACAGGATATAGAGAGAAGAAAAAGGCTGGATTGACCTACCTGCAGTTACAGTATGTGCTTTTCAGGTTGTCAATGGCCTGCATGAGGGTGGAGACAGTGGAGATGGAAAGAAAGGGGGAGA